CCCCGAACTCCTGGGTCAACGTACTCGGCTATGTGGCCGGGTGCGAACTGCACGGGGTGGAGCCGAACTTCGAGGCTTTCGCCCACATGAACTACCTCAGCCGGACCCCTAAGGCAGGCGGTACCGGCTGGTATCAATTGACGAGCCACAGGGGCTACCTCATGACGAGAGGTAAAGCAAACAAATGGAAGGACTGGCGGAACACCTTCCTTATCATTGAGAGTTCAGACACAGAGCTGAACAAGCGCTTCAACAGGTGGAACAGGAATCCGCCCCTTCTTACAGGCGGCCGCAGCATGCCGCCTGTTCCCCCCAAGGCTAAGAAAGAGATCCTAGATAAAGGACTCTTCAAAGTAGAGTCGAAGGTGAACTCTACTTCAAGGGTACGAGAGCAAGTACCCCTGCACTGCGTCCCGAGCTTCAAATGGCTCTACGACGAGTACTTTTTGGCCGCCTGTGGCCTCAGCAGCCGGTGCTCAAGAGGTAGCCGGCCTGTCGAATACTCTGTTGTTCCATGCATTTCTTGTTATGACTTTTATTAACTTTGCTATTTGTTTTTGCAGCGGACGCCATGAGCAAAATTACCGCCTCCAAGACTGCGGCGACCATGTTGCGGGCCTCCATCATGCAACAGTCTTCAACCGACTCCCCCAACAAGGGGGCACCCTTGGTGGGCTTCGAACCTTTCACCCTCTTTTTGGAGTTGTGTTTATGCATATACTGACTCTTTTCTTCTTTTTTAGACGGGCGCTCCAAGAGCTTCTTCTTCCCAACAGCCGAACCCCAAGGCCCGGAGGACGACTGTTGCGAGTTCTCCTGGTTCTGCCAGGAAACATGTGGCGGCTGAGAAACAGCCGACCACTTCTTCTAAAACTCCAGCTGGGCCACCTAGAAGTATGAAATTATCCTTGTAAATTTTAGACTTGCTCCCTTCTTTACTAGGTCTAATTCGTTTTTTTTATGCTTGATGCAGCCGGCCCTCAGGAGCCTGACTTGGTCGCCTGTGGCCTCAGCAGTCGGTGCTCAAGAGAAGTAATATTCACATTCTCCATTGTACCCGCATTGATATCCCTGTAAAACTTCGAATTGTGTTTATTATTTACGTACTGTTAATATATTTTTTTACGGAGTATATGGTTTTCAATGTACATCTTCTAATTATGATTATTTTTATTTTTTATAAAAGTAAATAATAGTAAGCGAGTTTGGGAACAAACATAATATGGGGTATAGATATATTGAATTAATGAAACATCATAGTAATATGAAGGGATTATAGTGATGTTTAACCCACTTATCCTACATTAAGTTGTATTGTTGAGATGTCACCTAAATTGCCGTTGAACTAACAAGCTACTACTAGTTAAGAGAATGAATGAAGACGTATATGATTAAGAAATTTAGAAATAGATTGATGACACCTGTGACCTGCGTGTTATATATTAGGTCCTCTATTATACCAAGTAACTTTAATTGTGTATACTATTTTTGAAAGGCTTGTTTATACTAATAAATGTGGTTGCATTGCGATAAGACACATTTTAATTTAAAGAGTGATTACTATACTTTCGTCATTTTCGTGACTGTCAATTAGTCTTTCCCAACTGTCAACTGTTACCGCACCGCACTTGTTAATTATTGTATTCATCACTACTTACAAACAATAATACATTACAAGAATTCATAAAACGAGAACATATATAATTATATATTCTAACCTTACAAAAAAATGAAATAATGCAAGAAGGTAGCTAGTATAAGCAACATTAGTTATGTTTCCTCTAATTATGTAACGAAGAAAATTGAGGCCATTTGTCCAATTATAGATAATGCTGGATGTTGATGGGGGCCTAATTAGCAAGTAATTTGTGCCATGCATGTGTATGTCTAATGTCTTAACACAATTATTTAGATTTAGTCAATATTAAATTATTCATGGATATTCAATTTGTTACAATGTAATTTGGATAATCGATTATGGACATGGAAGGGCCGTACACTTACAAGTAAGACTTATTACAACAACACTGTTACTTTTGTAGTGAGAAAGAAATAGCATAAAATAAATACTACGTATGAATAAAATTAATAATGATAAAGATAGAAGGAATATTGTAACATTATATATTCTTTGATGAGCTAATGAAAAAGATAAGCTAAACTTTATATATATGCAAATTTTTCCTGATATCGAAGTCAGCATGACATAAAGGTCACGGATTCGAATCTCCACACTCCACTTTCAAGTGAAATATTAAACGTTGGGTATGAAGAAGGCTCATGCTGCATCCACACTTCAAGCCTAACATGCTTATAGAACATAAAATATGTTTCTGGGCATAACTATCTTTTGACTGAGATGGTCCTCTAATTATTGTTATTGTTATTATTATCATTATAATTATTATTGATGATAAAAAGTGATTTATGACACGGGTGCATTGATTAATTTGACACCATAAATATTTTGTTTACAAGTTTTACCCTTGACTACAGTATAAAACAATTGGGAAATCACAAAGCTAAAGCAAGTTTTAGTTCACCAGTCACCACTACTGTATTATTTTAAATTTTTAACAAGACATGACAAAGAGAAAATATATAACTAAAGCTGACTATATGAGATCGACATGCAATGATTGATTAATGGATCGGACGCGATAGTTAGTCAACACACTATAAAATTTACATAATTTTTAAGCATTAAACTTCAATTGTTAAAAAGACAAAGAGAAATATATAACTTGAAAAAGTATTAATTAATACTTGTATATTATAAGAGGTTGTCCGATTAAGGCTTCCACCAACAAGTATTATTTTTAATGAAATTTTCCAATTTTGATTTGAGGAGAATTTTGCTAATGAGTAAAAATGGTGAGCAAAATTGCAATAATAGCTTCCCCATTAATGAGCAAATGGAAAAATGCTCATGAGCATAATTGATTTGGCTCATCCTATGAGCAAAAATGAAGGTGAATAGTAAAATGGTGGGGCCTAGCAAGTGTACAAACTGACTTTTTTTTTTTCTTTTGACACCATCAAAACGACGAGTTTTGGGTTTTCTTGTGAAGAGCAGTCCCCCAAAACGACGCGTTTTGATGGGAGCAAAGAAAAAAAAAATTAATCGCGGCTTCTGACAGGGGTGCATCAGTCCAACGAATGGGAAGCTGACACGCGTCCCTGTCAGCTTGTTCCTCCAATCAGCAATTGTTACCGTTTTGCAATGGTAATTAAATATAAACGGTAATTTGGCCGTTTTATAATTAAAAAAAAATTGATCAACAATTATAATTTTTTTTTCTCTACAAATAGAGATCCATTTTGACATATTTTGGTATAATTTCAAAAATCACAAAAACACTCTATATTACTCTTAATCCCATTTCTAGCGAGATTTATTTTATATTTTCTAATATAAAGTTGAGAAAGGTTAATTTTTTTTTTTTGGTTTATTATTTTTAATTAATATTTTTAGTACTCTAATATTTTTGCAAAACGTTATTAATGATATACAAAATTTTATGTTGTATTAAATTTATAATTAATTAGCGATTAAAATTTCAATATTATGAATTAATATTTAATAATTGTATTAAATTAAATAATAGTATAATTGTAATTAGTAGCCCTAAAAATTCATTTAACCAAAACATAATAAATAATAATAGGGTGATGTGTAAGAGAGAGAAATATTGGTGGGGTATGTGAAAAAGTAGGAGAGAGATTGATGAGCAGTTTTTTTTGCTCACTAGTGGGATAAAATTTGCTACAAAAAATGCTCATGAGCAAATTTAGTTGGGAAGAGAGAGAAAGTGGGTAGAGAGAGAATGAGGAGAAATTTTTTTGATCACTAGTGAGGATACTCTTAGTCTTGCAGTTTCTTGCATAAATGTAAATTCGATAACTAGATATCAAAGATTGCCTTTTTCATAATCGTTGTGGTAGATAGTTGTTTTTTGTACAATAACTATAAAATTATATAAATTAAATAACGATCGTGGAAAAGAGAAGCTTATAGATGAATTAGGTACTTTCCTCTTTTTTTTAGTCATCTATTTTAATTTGGCTTGTCATGTTTGCCAACGTGCGTGCAACTACTATGAATACATCTTTGATTGTACAATGGTTGGAATAATACATCTTAAAAATATATATATATATTAACGCAATCTAACGAAATAAGTTAAATTAAATATATATAAGTTAAATTAAACATATATAATTCATTAACTTGTCCCTAGATTTGTATTCCGGAGTAAAAAAAATTTCCATATAGTTGAAAAAAAAAATGGTTCCATTTTTTACAGAAATTTGATAGTCAAAGTTGGATTTGGTAGCAAGTATGTGAGGTTGAACTTGTGATACCTATGCTAAATACCTAATTGTTTTCTATAAGTCTAATTAATGCACAAGGTTACATTCTCATCTTAATTTCGTTGAACTTGATTTTCTTATGCTGAAATTATGTTTTCATTGACTGTACTTTTGCTAGTTTAAGCTCAACATAAATTGTTTCTTCTTGCACGCGAACTTATAGTTGGTGAATTATCTTAATTTTACTAAAGCATGTTTAAGTAAGTTGAGGAAATCGGACAAAATCTAAAGTTCTAAGTACTCAAAAGTCACATTCAACATTGTTAATTTAATTAAGCTAAAGTGTATATATAATACTAACACATAAATCTAATTGCATGCAGACACATCCATTTGGTCAGACTATCTTATATTTAATTAGAAGCTTCTTCATCACAAGTATCATCATTCATCAATTTATCATATCATTGAATTGAGTAATTATGAGTATATAATATACATGTAAGGTGTACGTAAAAGAAAAAAGAAAAATAAAACGATTATAACTTGTAGATTAATTTATGTAAGCTAAGGTAGGTCTAATTTAATACTCCTAAAATTATATATATTGACCTCAGTAATTTAATTAATAATTATACAAGCTTTAAATAAAACGGTTGATTCATTTCTTATATAAATGCGTCCAAAAAACATACCTAGCCACACATAAAAATAAGTCAGCATTTGGATGGTATTTTCCAACATTGTTCTCCAACTTTAGAGGAAAAAAAAGAGCTTCATTAAATTTTATTATTATTAATATTATTACTATTACTAGTTAACTAGGAACCATGCAATATTCTATTCCTTCAACCTCTTGTTCACTATGTTTATGTTTAGTCTTTCACCTCCTTATCATTTTCTCCACCACTACCCCGACGGCGGCAGTAGTAAAGCTGCCTCCGAATGTGACGGTTCCAGCGATCCTAGCGTTCGGAGATTCGATCATCGATCCCGGGAACAATAACAATATCAAGACCATTGTCAAGTGTAATCACCCTCCTTATGGTCAGGATTTCATGGGTGGCATTCCTACTGGCAGGTTCAGCAATGGAAGAATCCCTACTGATTTTTTCGGTATGAATCATAACACATGAATATAAAATAGTGCTTCATATATATGATCATCTCACATGCATATAACTTTTTTTTTTTTTAATTTTTAATTTTTTTTTAAAAATGTTACTATACATTTGGGGATTTTGGGGGTTTAATGTTTTAGCTTGAGTAATATCACAATCTTATAATCGGATCACTTTTTTTCTTAAAAGCTTGATAAATTCAAATTATTGTTTTATACGAGCTGAGTATAAGTGAGCATAGAGGGTGGCCCATGACGGGTACGATTTTTGACATTCACTTCCGTCCATATCACTACCCACCAAAGTTATAGGGGACTAGGTAAGTATTACGCAAAAATATAAAAAATTATAACCACATGTCATCTCATTTGACTATATATAAGTGACGAAGAACTTTAACTGTCTAGCTTAGCCTCAACTGCTAATCTGCTATTTTTTACAAAAAAAAAAAAAAAAAAAAAAAAAAAAAAAAAAAAAAAACATTTTATTGTTTATTATACTTAATTAAAATGAATTCTATCTTATTAATGTATAAGATGAATCCAAAATAAATTGTGCGAAATTCGAATGTGTAACCTTTTGGAATTACATTTTATGATTGTAACAAATTTTTAATTTTATGCAACATGTTGCGCCTACTAGTCTCACTGCTACTAGTAGAGCATATTACTACCTCCGTTACAGGTTATGTGCAACGATTAGACATTTTCCCTCTCTACTTTATGTCAAATCGTTGCACATAACCTGTAACGGAGGTAGTAATTAAAATTCGTAGTTAAAGACTTAAAGTTTCATTCACAAAAAGAATATGCATAAAACTTTGTATGTAAAAAGACAAAACATTTCAGAATAATAGTAAATGAAATTTAAGTTGCTTAGGATAAAATGATATACAAAAGAAAAAATCAAATCCTGGGTCATAACAGTGATTGCTCTACAGTACACCAAAATAAATAGTACGAGTACTTCGTACCTAATTAAGGTTGTTAAATGCTAAGTGTAAACTCACACTTAGGGCATTATTACTATAGTTGTAAGTAATATGATTTATGAAAATTATGCCTGGCAATTATTGGTCTTTTCACAATATTATTATTACTTGAGAAAATTAGGTGAAAAATTTAAAGTGTTATCAGCTACATTGATTTTCCCATTGCAATTCACCAAACTTTGGCATAAGCGTTAAATTAGAAAAAGAATTAAAGGCTCACGCAAGTTTCATTTAGGTTGCCTGATTAAAATGTATCCTTTCAAAGTAGTGTGACTGTTCAAGTAGTGATATTGATAGTGATTACTTAATTGTCTTTCTTTTTCATTTTCTATTTCATTCATTGAGAGCTTTGAACAAGTATTTACTAATTAAGAATTATCTCATTCACTAAGAGCGAGTGATAACTCAGTTGGTAAGAGCTTCTCTCTTAATTTTAAGGGATTTTCTATGTTTCTGATTCATCACCTGCCTTATGGTTCTCTAAAAACACACACACAAACTTCTTAAAATTAGCGTATGCAGCACACTAAGAATAGGTGTAACAATTTCATTTTGACATATATGCACATACATAAGGGCTAAACCAATCTATAAGGCTAGAGTAGCCGGGTGATGACCAATTGGCATAATTGACAACCAGTCAACCATGCATATTCATCATAAAATTGTGATTCCATTTTGTTTAGGGTGTGTGTACGTAATTTGTATATATGTACCATATAACTTAACTATTAATCATAGTATGAAAGTTGTTGCAAAATAATTCGTTAATACTTAATAGGAAAGCGCTATTGAATTTGAAAAGTTAAAAATCGAAACTTAGCTAGGTTATATGTAAAATTATAAGTAGCTTAGTGTGATAACTCACAAATGTTACGTGAGAGTTAAGATAGAGTGGTCCAGCACAAAGAAAGCTCCATCATCTTGCAAATGTATAAGACCGATTCTTCCTTTTTTTGAAGCCACTCATTATTTGAAAAGATTGAAAACTACTTGTATGTTGTATTGTATAGTTGGTCTACATACACGTATTGCCAAATGCCAACGAGTACATGCATGGCCTTTCATTTGATGTAATTGATTGTTGATGTGTTTTAAAGATCAAATTTAGGGAATAAATATAGTTGGTTGATGGTTAAGATGATCGATTATATGTCGTGAAAGACATCTGTCATGTTTCCATTTATAATAATCATATAATTAATATGTAACAGAACCAAAAAAAAAAAAAAAAAAAAAAAAAAAAAAAAAAAAAAACCTCACTCAAATGGAGTAATATTATTACCGTACTAGGGATGTATGTGTTATTGACACAAGCTATAAGTGGCTCATATAATAATTTTTTTATGGTAAAAATTTCACAAATCACATTGTTTGGTCTTAAATTGCATTGTCTTTCTTTGTCAAAAAAAAAAAAAAAAAAGAAAATTGCATTGTCTTGACATAAAGAGTGTTAGAGTACATGTACAATATTTAAAAGTACTTATATAATTGCAATATTTGTTTGTCAAAGTTCAATTAGAGTTTAATTTGGGTTGTACTTGACTGGTCTTAGTAATGAACACAAAATATTATATGGGGTGTATGTTGTTAATTGCAGCGCAAGAATTATCAGTAAAGGATATTGTACCGGCTTATTTAGATCCCAATTTAAGTTCAGAAGATCTCCTAACCGGTGTCAGTTTCGCTTCTGGAGCAGCTGGGTTTGACCCTTTGACTTCTAAAGTTGCGGTAAGCTCTTTCTTAATTTCATGAAGCTTCAAGCTAAGGGAATTGAATGAAAAGAAATTATTGACTCTAGACTCTAGAGTATATTAATTACTCACTAGTGTTTGGCTCGAGTGTTGCTCCAGGTGTTACTTTGAGTGTTTTTTTTTTTCAGCTTGAAAGATTTATTTTTATTGTCAGTACATTATAATAATACAATGACAATATTAAATAATTTTGAATTATTATTGTTTTTATTTCTAATATGTATTTATATGTTTATGTGCGTAGATAAACCCCATAATTATTAGTTTCTAGCTTAGATGGTAATAAGTTGGTTTTCATTCAATGAGGTCTTGCATTGTGTTCAAACCTCATTGTATGTATTTTTAGTTGACCATAACATGAAACAAATATATGCTAGAAATACACGTGGCAAATTGAACGATGAATCGATGATAATTGGTATAACCCACGGTTTCATTTTATATGCATTATAAAATAAGACAAATTCGGGTTTTGATGGGTAGGCTTGTTGTGCTTTGGCCCTTCTGCGGGCTTTCATCGAGGAAAGAGCAAGACTGACCCCGGCTTCTGCCTCTATCAGGCTTTTCAAGACCTACCACGCTTCCCCAAGAAGCCATTTTTAAGGATTCGACGGGCCCGTAAAAAAAAAAATGAGGATCCTTCCCAAACAAAACCAGGGGAGGCAGCAGCCCCCACCTTCACCGCCACAGCATGGGGGAGCCGCTGATATTATCCTGGTGTAAGAATGAGATACATGTGATACATTGACATATTTTAGAAACGCTTTTTAATATATATGTATAGATTTTCAAGTGAATTGCATGCAACAAAATGCATAAATAATTTTTTAAGACCATTAATTGGTATATATAAAAGGCAAAATAATTTCATATATACTTGTTATATATAAAAGTCATAAATTCCAATTAATCTAATTTGGAATGGAGAAAACAAATGTTTTTAAATTTTAACACCATTATAACCACAAATAATATTGTGATTCCCCTTGATTGGTGTATTTGGTCTCATAATTAGCTGTTAAATCTCACCTACATTTCTTTATTCTAATTAATTTGGTAATGTCTAATTGTTTTCTATGTTGTTGGATGTATACAGTCAGTGATATCACTATCACAGCAGCTAGAGTATTTTAAAGAATACATTGAGAAAGTGAAGCAACTAGTTGGGGTAGAGAAGACCAACTTCATTTTGGCAAACAGTGTTTACTTTGTTGTTGCTGGAAGTGATGATATTGCCAACACTTATTTTGGCACTCCTTTTAGAAGATTTCATTATGACATTCCTTCTTACACTGATCTTATGCTTCAATCTGCTTCTTCATTTGTCCAGGTATTGAATTGTTTTTCCGTATACGTTATGGCCGTCAATCTTAAGTATGCATCCGATGTACAATAATTTTAATTATTGTCTTACGCTTAGTTTTAGGGTAACTTTGATTTTAACCAATTTTATTGTGACATTTAGGCCATGCATAATATTCGCTTTATTTTATATTTGCTGAATTGAAATTATTTTTATTGAGGTGAAATAATTTTTGCTGAACTTTGATTAAACTGAATTTTTTTTACTGAACTAGAATTAATTCTACAGATCCTCTATTATATTTTTTCCTTAAAATTATTAGTAAATTTACCGAGGTAAAACTTTAAATTTAATACATTTTAGAGGGTTTTTTTTTTAAATTTTTTTTTTATTAGGGTTAACTTTGTTTTTATAAGGGAGGGTTAACTTTTTAACATTAATAATGATTAAAGCTAGATCAGAGTATGCCTAGAAGTTTGTGTACTGGTATATTAAAAATTAAAAAAAAATAAAAAAAAAGTTTGTGAAATACATGTTTTACCTCATACTACTTCTGCATTCTATTTATTTAGTTGTCAATCATTCAAGCATTAACATGACAACTAATAATGTAATTACATATTGTATTATTGATCTATTTCAAAAATATATTGATGGATTTAAGCTTCAGTTCATCGCATGTACCCTCCAAAGTCTAAAATAAAGACTATTATTCAATACCATTCCACCATATGATACCTTTAGCTAAAATAATTCCTATTTAATGTTCAATTCTCATCTTTGGCATAGTATATATGCTGGTTATAGAATATAGACCCATCATTTATGAGTATTATTAATGATTTAAAGCCATGAAAAATTGTCATTGTCATGAACGTGAATTAATAGTAAAGAAATGACAATAACCATAATAATGTCGAATAAAGTTATATTATTGGGGACACATTTAAACTGTATCACTATTAATTCTTACATTAATATGAAAAAAGTCACACACAACCATTTAGCAAATTGAGTTACGTGACCTCCTCAATCAGCTTACTAATTAAGCTGAATTTTACTAGTATTAATTATACACTTCCTTCCCTCAAAAAAAAAAAAAAAAAAAAAAAAATAAAATTATACACTTCCTTTATCACAAACTCATCACTTAGTTTATTTGTAGCTTGAAAAGTTAAGGTTGCAACTTGCAAACAAACTTATTAAATTCGGAAAAAAAAATAAAAATGAATAGAGACAGTATAGTCAAATTAAATATTACTTTATATGAGTTTAATATGTCAAACCAGTCTTGTGTGAGGCTGACTACAGAGTGTGATCGCTTGTAAAAAAAAACAAAATAATCTCTATAACATTGACCGAGGAACCCCTGTAATATTGACCGAATAACCCTTTTTAACACTTACCAGGTAACTTTTATAACACTAATGAAGTACACCTTGTAACAACTGTCCTTATAACACCTATAAGTCTATAACACTAACAAAGCAACCCCCATAATAGCGGATCACACAATTTAGGTTGATCATCATGTAACCCCTACATAAGAAATTAAATAAATTGTTACATATATGTCGATCACAATGAGCTTCTAGTAATTACTAGAATCGACGTAATTAATTAATTTCATAAGTAATGCAATTATTATTGATGATACATATGAATTTGAAAATGAACAGGAGTTATATGGACTAGGGGCACGAAGGCTAGCAGTATTTGGTGCACCTCCCATAGGATGTGTGCCATCGCAAAGAACCCTAGGAGGAGGAATTGTGAGAGATTGTGCTGAAAATTACAACGAAGCTGCTAAATTGTTCAATTCTAAGCTGTCTCCTGAACTTGATTCTCTCGCTAACAAGCTTCCTAACTCAAAGGTTGTCTACATTGACATTTATACCCCTTTGTATGATATTATTCAGTATCCGGCTAAATACGGTACGTAATCCAATACTCCCCCTAGCTTATTCTATTCTCTTCGCCTTTAATTTTTCATCACGACATATTTGGTAGGTGGTAATCCTTCACAAGTCCATGAATAAAAATGTTCATAATCACATTATGCATGCATTGTCTTAGTTATGAAGTCCTACTGGAAGTTATGAATGGTTGTCTTGGATTATATTATTATTAAACCTGATTAATATAGGGGTGTTTGGTACATGGAAATTAAGAAATTTGGGAATAGAGTTAAAATTAGAATTAATAGTGAGAATTTGTTGTCGTTTATATAAATGTAGGACTAATGATGTCTGGGTGGTAAACGGGTAATAGGTAAGGAATAATTAAATTAAATTATAAGTTTACAAATAAATATATTTTCACCAACATTTCTTCTCTTGCCTAGTTGGTTTTTTTTTTTTTTTTTTTTTTCCCAACATATTTTTTTCAACATTCCCAATTCATAATTTCAACCAGATATTCACATATTATGTCATCATATGCCAAAAACAACTGACACAACTTTTAAACATGAAAATCACACCAACTTACAAATTGGTATTGGACATTGTGTGAAAAATTATATTATGAAACACTTTTTTTGCGAGAAACTACCTAATTAAAATAATATTGTAAGACACTACCTTAGAAAAGGGTAAATGTTGTAATATAAGAGACTACCATTGGTCGAAAAGTCACCGTTGACTTTCATTTTTCAGCATTGACCACATCACGTGCCAATCACGTGACTTTAATTCACCCTTTCTCTCATTTTTTTCTTAATTGGCACGTGACATGATCAACGTCGGAAATTAAAAAGCCAACGATAACTTTTCGACCCAGGGTAGTCACTTACAACATTTATCCTTTTATAAATTAGTTTCTTACAACATTTTTTTTATTAGGTAGTTTCTTGCAAATAAAGTGCTTTACAAGGTAGATTTTCTCAAAATGTTCAATATCAATTTGTAAGTTGGTGTGATTTTCATGTTTAAAAGATGTGTCGGTTATTTTTGGCATATGATGACATAATATGAGAATATCTGGTTGAAATTATTTCCATTCAAAGTAGGGCATTAAAATTTAACAAAGTTTAGAATGGTCCTAGATATGTAAAAGCATGTTTCTTTGTACCTTTAGATGCGATAGAATGAACAATTTACATGAAACTAACGGTATTGGCGGTGGAATAATCAATAATGTCAAACACTACATTACTCATTTACTCCTATAACTAAAGTACTTATAGTTATGCATAATTCAAGTCTTGACAAGTTTGCTGTGACGTGCCTATGAAGCAGTTAGTTATTGATGGAGTGTGTTTAAAAAAAAAAAAAAAAAAAAAAGGTTTGTTGATGGAGTGGTACGAGGAAATTGAATTCGGTAATAAGTTCAGACTTTATTTTACGTGTAAATGTTCTCATCATAATTAATGTTTACTAAATTTCTAGGACTTACCATATTGGTGTGAATTTTTGTATGGTTGTGTCTTAAAAACTCTACATATCCATTTACTCGATCACTCCATTTATTATTTTTTTTTTTCATAATTATAGTTGTAATTTGAAATTTAATCTCACCTTGCTAAATGCTAATATAATGAATTTATTAAAAGATATAAAATAAACTCAAACCAACATAATCTCTCAGCATATTAACGTATATAGTTTGTATGAATTGTATCTCAATTCTTCAATAGTTGTGATACAATCTACTCGTAGTTTATATGTAACCACGACCACGCATTCAAAAAGTATTTAAATACAATTTCCATGTTGATATTAATATACAAATTCATGACAAAATCACTAACTATTCGTTTTTATTTAACTATATATGCATCGATCCCTAAGCTAATTAGTTTTTCGATTCTCACCTTCACTAAAATTATTAAATTCAACTACAGAGTACAATTGTTAATTAATTTTATTTCGACCATTGTAAACTAAACAGGGTTTGAGCAAGTAGTGAAGGGTTGTTGTGGCACAGGACTAATAGAAGTAACGTCGTTATTGTGTAACAAGTTAGATGCAGTATGTCCAGATGATACAAAGTACTTATTCTGGGATAGTTACCATCCTACTGAAAGAGGTTATGAGGTTCTCCTTAGCTTGCTCATTGACAAATATATCAGCCGCCTTTATTGATACAATTACGGAGTTTAAGTTATATTATTACAAGTACTATATATTTATAGTACTAGATTTTTTTTCTATGTTATTTAATAATTCATTTCGGCATTATTGGTAAGAAATTAATACCAATGCATTGCTCTTGAGTCGTGATCGTTGTTGCTTCATTCAATGTAATCATTTTTATTTTTTCGTTTTATTTTGTTCACATTTACCGATTTACGATACGTACAATTCGTACAAATTGCGTACAAATCCGTTTGTACTTGTATATCAGCCCACATATATTATATACATGTATGTAAGTCTATTTAATTAACCATGCTTTGTAATAAAATTATACACCCTCGGGAGTATGTGTGAAATTCACAATATAACTTGGTATTACAAAGAGTAAAGACCATGTTATTCGTCTTCTCTTATTTATTTTTTTATTTTATTTTTTTTGACAAAGGATGAAAAGGAAAAAAAAGTAATACATATTACTACTAAAGCAAATGAAATGGTTGGCAGCCTCTCCTGCAATTTGGTGTGCCCTTTGAACACGTTCCCTATCTGCCTTGTAAATACTACAACATTGAAAAGTGGACCCTAAATGTTGAATCTGCTGTACCAGCCATAAATACCTAATATCTCCATGCATGTCCATCGCTACATAGAAGGGTGACCAGATTATAAGAATTTGTAAAAAGCAGAAGTGATTGAGTGCCTACATTTGAGGCCCATTGCAAGGCATATAAACAGGCTAAGCTAAGGTTTTCGAATGAAGAGAAGACGAACACAACCCAAAATTACTTCCACCAACTATAACACCCCCAAATTACTCTATAATAATTATTATTATAAAACCTGATTTAAGAGAGTAACTTAGGAGCATTACTGCCACGTGATTACGTAAGGCATTTCAAAACAGAGAATTCCAGCGGAGAAAATTCATACTTAACTTATATATATTGATAATAATAGTAATAATAGCTTTCAAAATTGAACTCTATGAGAATTTTCATACAAAACATCAGCCATGAGACCTAGACTACATGAGTATTGCCCTTCATCCCCAATGCCACATTTAGATCACGTCGAGTCGTCATCACCTATCGACTTATCAAAATGATAAGTAGGGCCAAGCCAAAACAAAGAGAAATATGTATTAGCAAAAACGCTAAGTACATACCAATGCTAGATACGTAAAATCTAGTTATTATTTAATTAAACATGCTTTCGTAAGATTTAGAATTTATAAATAACATTTATTCAAACCTTCCATAAATTGGAATTTCACATTAAGAAACGTTTAGAAACATTCCAAAAATTATCAACATTTCAAAACCGACGACTTTCCCAAAATAGATTCCAATAGAAATGGAAGATCAATATTTTCGTAAACCATTTTTTCACCTAAGTGTGCACACCTCCCAAACTAGTAACTCCTTACATAGTGCTATCAAGGGGAAAGACTAGATCATACATAGTTCATAGTCTTCAATTTTATCTCCACATAGTGCGAGTCATAAAAATTCAATATATATATTTGATAAATCAATCTTCCAATTTCCGTGTATGGGATTTCAACAACATTTTCTCTTTAAAATGAATTTGAATTCAAGTATGCGTATAAACAACTTTTAGAACATTGAAATTATTTCCAAAGATCAAATAGTAAAACATTTCACAATATTCATTTCATAAACATTCATAAATCCTTGTTCAACATTCAAACATATTTCATCATTCAAAACACAAAACATATTTGTATAAAATCACATATTTAAAGATCTAGACACGAGTACGTACCTTGATCTTTACAACTATTCCACCTAGATTTACAACCACGAACTATCTCCTAAACAAACATTATATGAAGTATTTTAAATAAGAATCAAATATGAAACCTTACAAAAAATCATAAATTGAAAATAGATATTAGTTTTGAAAGACTAACCGCAAAACAATATAAAGTAGCAAAGCTCACGGGAAGGTTCACGTTGAAAAGAAGGAGTCAGATCTTTCAGAAGTCATATCTCATAGTATATAACTTCGAATTGAGTTATTCTTGAGCCTAACCTCAAGGATTTTTTGAGAGGAATAACTTTGTCTCAACCAACAAAAGGCTAAAAATGATCAGAATTGGTTGAAAAATGGCCTAGAACATATACGGGGTGAAGTAGTACGAAAATGGGAGGAAGAAAGAAGAAAAGAAGGATGAAGCTTTAAGAGCAAGAGACTTTTGGATTAAAATGGCTGAACTTTGGTTCTATTTATAGAGTTTGAGAACTTGGGGATCAAGTATTCAAGCTTGTAGAGGAAGTTTATGAGATCATGTTATTGACATCATGTATGATGTCAACAACTTGGAGGTCAAGTATTCAAGCTTGTAAATGAAGTTTGTGACTTTGGTCATGCTTTAGGAAAAGAAATGGACTTAGGTCCTTTGACTTGGAGCAAAGAAATACTCGAAGTAGAAAAATGTTATTTTCGACTACTAAATTCCTTATTTGCATATCCAAAATATTTTATAAAACATAATTTTAACCAAATGATTTTCGTAAATAAAACTAAATAAAATTCTTTTGTGTCACTTTAAAACATAATAATATGTATTATTAATAAACTATGACATATTCAAGTCAAAACATAATTAATAGTTCATAAAACGGGTTTAAAAATACGGGGTATTACACCAACAATCCTTTCATCCAGAGGATCTGAATTATCAAGGCACCAGCCCATTCCTGCTCGTCCTGTATCTTTGAACCAAGATTCGTCGACTTGAATCCTAACCAAGAATGAGCCTGAGTGATGTAACCCTAGATGGGCTACATGAAACCCAGGCGGGGGCAAACAAGGGGAATTAGGTGGAGAGGGAGAGAGCTCCGAACCCGAATCATCATCCATATAGATAGTATGAGAGTGTAGGATGTCCAATAGTTGCAGTTCAATTGGAGTCGTAACAGATGTTCGGGTTATTATTCCTAAATAACCAAAGGCCCCATAGCGTACCAACAAATTAAAGGTGCTAATACTGGGACTCAAAATCCCATCCTAACTAATGAAAAGTCGGATATAATCTTGGATCCAATCTGAGAGAGAAAGGTTGCCATATAATTCTGAGTGGATGCCCAAAGCACCACCCCTCCAAGCTGTTCTTGCAATAGGGCACTCCCTAAACAGATGGTTGAAATCCTCTAACCGCAAACCGCATTGATCACATGACACATCTTGTATGGGAACCCCCTTACGTTGAAGCTCACCTTTGAGCGCTAAACCATTATTGAGCAACTTCCATAAGAATAGTTTTCACTTTGGCTGTAAATGCAGGGACCAAAGTAATTTCCATAAAGGGCTTAATAAATGAGGAGCAAGCGGTTGAATAAGCATTGCATAACATGTCTTCACTGTACAATTCCCCAAAGTAGTACGTACCCAAAATCGAAAATCCTCCTCCTGTAAAGCAGGGGATTCCATAGCAAGGATTGCGAAAGCATCCGCGGGCTGAAAACTCTGCTGAATTTTGTCTGCATCCCAAGTGAGAGTTTGTGGATGAATGAAGAAATTAAATTAACTGTCCAATCCTTGGCAGTGGCTAGGAGGATCCCTTGCTGGAGATCTAGCGTAGTACCATTGACCCAATTTGAGCTTCCTACAAGAATGGATTTCCCGTTGCCAACTTTCCAGTTGCACCCCGTTTAAAGAAGTGCATCCGCGTAAAGAAGCCCGCGAAGGCCGTAGGATTGGCGATCGAAGGAGCGTCTACCTTCAATTGGAGAAGGTGACAAGAAGCGGGCACGAGTTGTATAGACTCTGGAAATAAGCAGCTGGGGGTGGTTAGAAATTCTCCAAACTTGCTTCATAAGAAGGGCTTTGTTTAAAGTTGAGATACACTGAATCCCTAAACCACCCATACCTCGAGGAAGAAGCATTTTCCCTTTTCCCACCCAATGCATTCCTTGATTTTCCGAGTGTGACTAAAAAAATTTCAATAATAAGCCATCAATTTTCCCAGAAATTGAGGTTGGGATTTCAAAACAGGAAAGGAGAAGAGAGGCCATGGAGGATCGAGTTAATGAAAATTAACTTTTGTGATTAGGAAAGCCTGACAGCATTGAGCGTCGTAATGCGACCAACAATTTTATCGATGAGAAAATGGAAGCAGTCTTTCTTCTTCCCCATAAAATCAATAGGGGTACCCGGATGATGATCAAACCCTTGGACGTGCTTCATACGGAACATCGACTTAAATTCATCCTGTGCCGTTGTTATAGTATTTGGACTGAATTTAATCAATGACTTGTTGAGATTCAACTCTTGACCAAAAATCTTTGTAAAACGTTGAATTATCTTGATGATATTCGAACAAGAAGGAGCAGAAGATCTAAAGAGAACCATAGCGTCGTCGGCGAAGAAAAGATGGGAAATAACAGGACTAGTCCTGGAGGTTTTTATTCCCTGAAACATACCCAAGTCCTGGCCCAAGTGAAGCATTCTTGAAAAAAATATCCATGTAAAAGAGGAGATATAAGGGGATAACGGGTCCCCTTAACGGAGACCACAATGAGGCCTTTTAGGCCTCAGAAGTATTACCATTGATGAGAGATTTATAGGAAACTGTAGAAATGCATTGGTGAATCATTTGAAGCCACCGAGCTGGGAAACCATAGGCTTTAAGAACCCGTAAAAGGAAGCTCCAATGAACTCTGTCGTAGACCTTACTCATATCGATTTTGAGCGCAGCAAGCCAGTTTGTACCAGTCTTGGAGGAGTTAATTTTCTCCATTAATTCATGTGACATTAGAATATTATCTGTAATAACTCTCCCTTGGACAAAGGCATGCTGAGAATCAGAGATGAGAAAAGACAAATATGGACGGATTCTGGCTACCAAGCATTTGGAAGCACATTTATAAATTGTATTACAAAGGCTAATAGGACGAAGGTGTGTGACCTCCATTGGTGAGGCAATCTTCGGTATCATGACAAGGAGTGATTGATTCCATTCTTTAAGGAGGAACCCTGTATGAAAAAAACTTTGAACAACCACCACCACCGAATCACCCACCGTATGCCAATGAACTTTAAAAAAGTCTGCCGTTACACCATCCGGGCCTGCAGACTTACAGTTTCCCAAATCAAACATTGCATCCTGTATTTTAGTCGCATTAAAAGGTCATTCTAGATTACTAATCTGAGACGGGTTAAGAGAAAGAAGATGCAATTCTTGAAGGACAGTATCAATCTCAGGATCAAAACTAGGAACCACATCACATTTCAAAGTCTCCTTTAGCGCTCGAACAACGATGTTTTGGACCTCCTGTTGACCATGATGCAAAAGTCCTTAGTCATCAACCAGGGAAGAAATAGTACCACCCTAGACGGTTTTCTACCGCCTGGGTCAGAGGCT